ATAATAAAATAAAAATTTAATTTTCATTTTGATAATAAATTAATTTTGAAATAAAAAAAAATTTTACTAGAATCTAGAATAAATAGTAACTGCTATAAAATAATTCGCTGATTAATACTGCCAATTTATTTAAATTATCAGTTTTTGACATTTTCATTTTTTGCTGAATTACTACCTTTAGTCGTTCATAGCCTACATCTTTCGGTCCATCCATAATCAGTGATCGAATTTCACCACATTTATAAAAACTATTTCGAAAAATGCTTATCGCCGGTTCCAATGCGCCTTGATTCCTTGCATGAGCCCAAGTTTTACGTACCAATAACAATTGTATAGCGCTCAAATTCAAGCTACTACTCCTATTCCGAGTCAAATCACGATTTGATGATGTTTCTGCAGATTAAAAAAAANTTTAATTGAAAGATTTTTAATTACTTTTAATATATGAATTTCAAGCAAGTTTAAATGAATGAGAGAAATTGTATGGCATCCCAAACTTTAGCAGCGATTTAACTTTTAAACCCATCCAACACAACTACTAAAAAATATTATTAAATTCCTAAAAATAGTAAGGCCAATTTTGATATGGAAAAATATTTGAAATTAAAAAATTAAACTGATGGTGAGAAATTTTGATGAGCAGGAAAGAAAACAAAAAGGAAAGTTATGCTGAATAAATATTCATGTGAAATAAATTTTAGAATAGTTGCTATGTTTTAATTTTAAACTTGGAATAGCTGAGTGTAAAATATGCATAGTTTAATCCATCTTCCAAGTTTCACTGTAATTATTTTTTTCCATCTCTCACGTAATCACGTAATATTATTTTTACATGAAGAACAATATGAGTAAAATAAAATAAATTTTAAAATCCTTTCTTCTATTATAATATTCCTACATGAAGTCTAAAACCTGACATTACAAGCTAATTGAGTAAATAAGTTTAAAAAAAAACTTTGGTTCTCGAATATCAAATTAAAATTGATGGTTTCTTTTATTGTATAAAATATTGTATAAAAAA